ACTCATATATATATATATATATATATATTATATATATATATATATATATATATATATATATATATATATATATATATATATATATATATCTCAGTGGTGCCTGTGGTGATCGGAGCATTCGGGGCTGTAACCCCCAAACTGGAAGAGGCTACAACAGATACCGGGAAAAACAACAGACATCTCAGTCCAGAAAAGTGCAGTACTGGGAACAGCAAAGATACTGCACAGAACTCTCAGGCTCCCAGGTTTTTAGAAAATACTTTTCTCAGCTGATCCATGTGGCTGAATTTTACATGAACAAACTGGAAAATGTCCTTCCCATTTCTGTTTGGTTCTTTGGTTGTACTCGAAGTACTGTGATACGGTATCCACAAATGTACTAGAGTACTACACAGTACAATACTGTACAATACAGTAAAACAGAGGGAACTACATAGAACATTCTTTCTATTCTGAATGTCATGATTCACACTAAGATCTTGTCAAGACATTAAAAAAGGAAAAATGTATATTTCTACAACTCTTATATAAATACTCATATATAAATATAAATACTCATATATAAATATACCATGACATTTAAATACAATTTTGTTTAAAATTCATATAAATTGCAAAAATCTAAGATGGTTTAAAGACATGAAATGACTAGAAGGTCAAAGACTTGAGACTTACTTGAGACTTGCAAAACAACAACTTGGTCCCACCTCTGCCTAATATAGAGAAACTATTGTCATTTTGCAGATCAATATACAACTCTACAACTGATAATGGAAGAATATTTTATAACGAACAGAAATCATGGCCCCTGCCCCCATCAAACCCAGTGTAGTGTTGCCTATTATCAGAGAGCATAAGGCAGATACATGTAATCAGATAGAAATATGCACACGGCACACACAAAGACCTGAGCCTCCGCCTCGCACTCCCGGATCCTGCGCTTGGGCCGTTTTGAATTGCAAAACACCAAAAGTGGAGCCGCGCATTGTTTGTAAATGCTATTGGCACATCCAGAGAAAAAGAACATACATGAAGAGAGGGAGAGAACGAATGGGCAAGAGAGAGGGAGGGAGAGAGAGAGAGAGAGAGAGAGAGAGAGAGAGAGAGAGAGAGAGAGAGAAGGTGTATTATTGTTATTTATTTAAGGGGGGAAAGAGAGATGAGAGAAGAGGGAGAGATAAAGATAGGGAGACAGAGAGAGGGAGAAAGGGAAGGAGAGAGAGAACGGTAGGGAGAGGGAAAGAGAGATGGGGAGATAGAATAGAGAGGGACAGAACTAAAGAAAGGGCAAAAGAGAGGGAGAGAGAGAGAGGGATGGGGTACACAGAGAGAAAGTATAGAAGAAATATTATTAATTAAAGACAGGGGAAGAAGAGGGAGAGATAAAGAAAGGGAGAGAAGGTGATAAAGGGAGGGAGAGGGTGTGAGAGATATGGGGGAGAGAAAGAAAGGGTGAGTGGGAGAGAGAGAGGGAGAAAGAGAATGGAAGAGGGGGTGGCCAGAGAAAGAAAGTGAGAGGGAGGAAGAAACAGCGGGAGAGGAGAGAGAGGGAGAGCAGGGAGAGAGGAAAAGGAAGATAGAGAGACAGGGGGAGACAACGGGGGAGAGAGGGAGACAGAGAGAGAGAGATAATGAGCATGCATGTGTATACGCGTGCACGTGGAGTATGGATTATGGGCTGTCCAGGTTGTCCGGGTAACGGTGATGTGGTGGTGAACACACATTGACAGCAGAGAAACTGCGGCGAGGTTATCTGTAACATGTGGGGAGAGAGACAGAGAAAGAGAAAGGGGGGAGTGAGAGGGAGAGAAAGAGTCTAAAAGAGGGATTGGAGAGAGAGAGAGAGAGAGGTGTGGACAGTGTTCACGTGGAGCCGTTGTAGTGACTGTATAATGTGACGTCTCCATGCTGCAGGGTAGAGACGGTGTAATATTATTGCTGCGTCTTTGTGCCATTGTGTATTTTCAAAATGCTTTTACAACAAACGAGTTCAGAGGCACGTTTCCCATGATGCTCCACACTCGTCGGACGGTCAGGACGAGGTGGTCACGTGGTTCTGAGCTCCTCACAAACAACACCTTCTGAAGGAGCTGTGGAGCACATCTATAGGTTCAAGTTTAGAACGTATAAATAACAGAGCCTATTTTCTGACCTTCTGGAGCTTTCTACATTGTTGCTCCCTGAAGAAGTTTGAGATGTCATCTATGCATGTTTGAGTAATCTAGCGATCTTTCCCTTAAACCCTCAAACTCTCCTGATGGTTAGCTGTGACATTCTGTCCACTGCTCAGTCCATATGCCCACTTCCCCCGTACTCCCTGTCACGACCCAGCGCTGCTCGGGACAGGGGAAGTAACAAAATAACCAAGATGGTAAGATGGTAAAACTAAAGTTGTGATTTATTTCAAAGAATTGTAAAAGGTAAAACTAACAAAAGATGACTAATTACAAAAATAACAAAAAGAGGCTCTAATCAGAGTAACAAAAATGCATGTAACTGAAAGTAGGCTAACAAAAAAAGAATATACAAAATGACGACAGGAAACCAAAACCAGTCTCAACTAAGTCACAAGGACTATTGTCCCAAACAAGTTAACAGCACACCACGAGAGACACAACAAGAGTGGCATGCAGTCCACAGTCAGAACAGCCCAGGGTTGGCCTACACCTGAAGCTGAGGTGTCATGGTTTTCCACCAATCAGAGTGAGGATCCAGGTGTCAGTTTCAATTGAACCCACCAATCACAGCAGGGGTCTGGAGATGGAGGTTTCACATGCACATGGATCAAACAGAGGTGGCTGTAGGAGGAGCTGGCGGCTCGTGACCATAACACTTCCACATGATTATTCTCCATAAATAAACAAAAACATGATACTGGACGAACCTGACGTGATGTGCATGAGTTTAAGTACTCAGAGCTTCAAAGACAAAGATGAAACTATAATTACACATTTTAATATGTTGTTTTTCTATTCACTTTCTGTTGAAAACACATTGTCTCTCTCTCTGTAACTGCTGCTGTCAGGCTGCTCATTTTGGTCTTAAAATGTTCATATTGACCCGCTCTGTATGGTCCTTGTAGTCAGGCTGGCGCCACCTAGTGCCTCCGCTCAATTTCATTTCTCTCCAGCAACTTGGTCAGGAATCAGAATACACTAGAGTCTCGTGACTAGACAGTTCCCAAAAAACTCGGAAGTGCGAGTTTGGGCACCAGCCAATCAGCGAAGAGCCAGACATTTTGTGTTGGCAACAATTCCCGAGATTAAGGACTTGAAGCCGGAACAAAGAGAATGTTTGGTGAATTTTATATCAAGGGGAAAGACGTTATTGTCCTTCTTCCTACACAAATCGGGAAATAGTTTAATGTACCAGTTAGCCCCGTTAGCGGAGCATTACATATGTGATGACCAAATAGCAGCGATTGGTTAAAAGATTAAAAACCCCCGCCTACTGTTGAGCAAATGAGTTCTATTGCTACAAGGTCAGACAGTTTCCACGAAGTGAAACCGTCTGAGGAATCAGGCTATGATTCTTGCTATTTTGTCTGCAAATTCATTCCTATTTCTAATATGGAACTGGACTCCAAATTTACCAGATAACTGTTTGCCTTCATATATATAGAAGCTCTGGATATATGAATATATATATACATATATATATATATATATATATATATATATATATATATATATATATAGAGAGAGAGAGAGAGAGAGAGAGAGAGAGAGAGAGAGAGAGAGAGAGAGAGAGAGAGAGAGAGAGAGAGAGAGAGAGCTTCATTTGACTGGAGCTGAACACTGAGGCTGTTGTCACAATCCTTTAGTTCACTTCTCTATACAGCCTATGGGTTAATGCAACACTGTGGAACACTTCAGGCAAAGTGTGGAATGCCAGTGGAACATAACCTAACTATAGATACTTTTGTTTCCAGTGAATAACACATATGTACTTTGAATAGTGTGGGCATGTGTGTGTGCGTGCGTGTGGGTGTGTGTGTGTGTGTGTGTGTGTGTGTGTGGGTGTGTGTGTGTGTGTGTGTGTGTGTGTGGGTGTGTGTGTGTGTGTGTGTGTATTGTGCCTCTTCAGGTTAAAGGTGAGGATGACATCATCATGCTCTGTGTCTTCATGACATGTCTCTAAGTTGAACTGAAATGGGGCAAAGCAAAAGTTCTGCTTCTCCATGAGATGATTTTGGTCTCAGTGTAAATAAACTGGTCTATACCATAATTAATGTTGACCCTGTCCATCTGCGAGAGGAGGAGTCACGTGCAGTCTGGAAGAAGTGTGTGATGGTCCTGAGGAGACGTCTAAACACCTCGTCCCCCTCAGCCCCAGTGTGACCCTCAGCACAGGCACAGAGCTCCAGTCTGAGGCCTGTACAAGGAGGACATCTAGTGGTCGGGCCAACAGTAATAGTCTATGTGTTTAATCAGAAGCACAATATAGATCTCATTTAATTGGACACAGATCATGTCAGGACTTCAGCACTTTGATGACGCTCTAGTCTCTGCTCTGGAGCTGAGCTCGACTGCACCCGTGTCCATAGGAGCATGGACTCATGCAAAACTCATCCTTCAGCCTTATTGTATGTGTTTATTTGTACATTTATTCAATGTTTATTGTGTATTTGGCTATCCATTATTTTATTTTAGTTTGTTTAATTATTTGTAATATGTTAAATTTTTTTGTCTCCTCCTTGTTTCTGTGGAAGTGTTGTACCTTTGGCTATAACATTCCACAGTATGGCATAAATCTATGTCTGTGGAGAATGTTCCAAAGTATGGCTTTAACTTTTTTATTTCCATGGAATCATGTTAGTGATATGCCACGTCTTAAAAGTCACACTATCACTTTAAGAAACACTGTGGCTACTGTCGAACAATAACATCTGCATTAGGCCTTTATCAGCGGTTTCTGTCTCTAGTTTCATTTTCTTTTGAAATTCTAGCTAAAGTGTCATGCCAAAATAACGTCAGACTGATTGAAACGGGCCTATCCCAGTCCACATTCCGGTGCAGCAGAGAGCGCTCACACTCGCACGGCCCAGCCCGGTGAGGCGGCGTCAGAGGAGCGCAGTTTCCGTCCCGTGGGCCGCTGCAGCTGAGCCCGGACAGAGCCGTACAGAGCCTGTGGAGCGAGGGAGTTGGCACACGTTTCCGCGGCTGTGTGTGCGATCCGCGGGGCGCACTGAGGACCATGGCCGTGCAGGGGACCACCGCGGACCTCTCTGTGCCCGTGTTGGATCTGGAAGAGGACGATGATTTGGAAGTTTTCTCAAAGGTACACGTAAACACCGACTAACCCAGTGCGCGCGCTTCTACGTGGACACTGTACGTCTCCAAAAGTTCTAATAGTAAACGTACGCTGTCCCGGTGATTATTTTGTGGTGAAAAAAGTAGTTTAAATGGATTTCGCGGTCGTTACTCTGCGCAATGCTCAGGGCACTCCCTCCGTTAAAACCTGTGGAAATATGGACATGTGACCGCTACAGTGAAGTAGGAAGTGACACTGTCAGTCAAATGGACAGGGACGATCCGAGTGTGTGGACGTGTTGAATACGTGATTTTAAGTAACATATTTCCTTACAATTAAATGAACCAATGAATCAAAATGAGCCTGTATTGATCAAGGGTTTGCAGTCAGGATAGTCTCCACACAACAGGCTCTGATGATAAAACTCGGCTCAGCCTGTCAGTTAAAGGCCCATATCACACTCTTCTCTGATCTGTGGTTTGAAGTCTGTTCCTCATCACATACATGTAGTGGTTGTGTTTGGTTTCATGTTCACATGTTTAACACACAAATCCTGCATGTTTGCTTCTTTAGTTCTTCTCTTTAACAGAAAACACTTTGTCCACCTTGTGATGTCATGTGATAATACAGGAAGTGTTCCGCTGTGTTTTTAAACTCCATAAACCTTTATAATAACAATTATGATTTCAACCTGAGAATTGACAATCTACTGAATTAAAGGTAAACGTTAGCTGTTAACTAAACTACCACTACATGACATCACAAGGTGGAACAGAGAATTTTGAGCTTTGGAGATGTAGACAGACTAATAATAAAGGTTTAATCAAAGGTGTAAATGTTACAAAACAAAACTTGTGTTATGTTTTTAGGAGATAACATTAAAACATGGTTTAGAGCTCACAAGAGTCTATTTTGTGTAATTTAGGACCTTTAAGTGAAATGGGAATAGGGATGTTAAGATGATCAGGTTAACAGATAATTTTGATATAGCCACAATATAATCTATAATCTCAAAAATAGTAATTGTGATAATTTTAGAATGAACATTAAGTCATGTTGATTCTGTCTATGTTCCAAAAAAGTGCTATTTGTGTAAAGTGTTTATGTGGCTGTTTGTCACCTCAGGTTTACTGCCTCAGAGAAATACTTTTCATAAACCAGGTCACACTGTCACATGTTCAGAAACTATAATGCAAGAAAATGAAGGAAGCTGCAGTTTTCAAGTTAACAGTTACCATTTATTTACCTTTTAATTAGTAGACTAAATTGGAAATGCCATGGTTGAAATGATCCAGATGATTCTAATGAAGGTGTATGGAATGTAACTTTTAAAACACAGTGGAGCACTTTCATTTCCTTCCTTACTTAATCCAGTTTGCATGGATATTTTATTACCCCTCAAAAAGGCTATGGTTACTTGGAATACCACTTCTTTTACATTCACTACCACCATTTTAAATTCACTACGAACTGAAAATGACTTGGGCCTGTTCCATAAGCCTGTCCTATCTCTGTACTGAGGGACATGCCTCTGTCAGTGCATGGCAGAATGCCTCTGCTCGGGCCAACTTTGATTATTTTGCTCAAATTATGTAATTTATGTGGCTGTGTAGTCAAAATGTTCTGCAGTTATCTCTTCTCGCTTAAAGTTAAAAGTTAAGATTTAAGGCCAGCTGCTGATGGACTAAAAATTGCAAATATTGTCCCAATATATCGGCCTATCTCTAGTTTTGATTAAGGAGCTGTGTTCGACAGCTGAGAGCAAACTCACACAGCTGCCAACTATAGCAACAGAAACGCTTGACTAATAAACAGGTAGTGGTGTTTGTTGAAACTGGTTACTTCCTTATTCAGCTGATCACATGACCCAGGTGCACACACAGTATATGGTCTGCAATATTGTAGTTATCCTGGCATTTCCTTTCTCTCTCTGCGTATGTGTCTCCTGTTTACTGTGCTTGGCTCTCCAGGCTCTTCAGACTATCCTACTTTCTGTTCAGATGTACCACGGTCTGGAACCAAGTGTCCAGGTCTGGGACAGTTCAGTCACAAATCCAGTCATGTCTTTTAGACATCACAGAGATAGCTGTGTTTGGTGACCAATGCACTTGAGATGGTGTGAACAGTGCACTTGCTCCTCAAAATTATTTTATTAGTCCCTTCTAAAAAAAACTTGGCTTTTTTATTGACCTACCTTTTTTTTTGACCAGACTTCTCTCCCCTGCCTCCAGGGGGCGCAAAACACAGCAGCCCACCTCCTAACAGGGACCAAGAAGTGGGAACGTATTGCCCCTGTGTTTGGTATTCTCACTGGCTACCTGTCAAGTTTAAAATCCATTTTAAAATTATCCTGTTATTAAAAGCCTGCTCCTACAGCCCCACACGCCAAGGTGAGCTCTGAGGTCTGCAGACCAGCTGCTCCTCTGTCCCTGCTCCAGACCGAGCACCAGAGGAGACAGGGCCTTCTCCGTGACAGCTCCCAAACTTTGCAATAGTCTATTTGCACAAGTGTTTACCGCCAACTAAGCTGCAGCACCTTCCAATTTTAGTTATTATTTTAACATCTATTCTCTTCATCTTTTTTCTTGCTGTATATGGTGTGTTGGGGTTTATTGTTGTCTGTAAAGCAAACACTTTTGACTTGACTTCAAGAATAAAGATCCAGGGCTACAGTAAGACATAAGACATAAGAAACCAACCATGTTTGTTTTGATACATGCTAATTATGTGTCTGACTGGTCAATCCACCAGTCAGTGACGCCCCTTGGACACCATGGAAACTGGATGCTGTTCCAGACTAGACCTGTGTGCGCGGTATCCAGACTAGACCTGTGTGCGCGGTATCCAGACTAGACCTGTGCCTGTAGTCTCAGATGAATGTTTCCCTGTACTTAAGTGTCATTATGTTTGTGTTTCAGTTGGTCGTGTTGGTACATGTTCACCAATGACCAGCTCCACACAGGGCTGGGTCCCTCTTAGTCTTTATGTCAAACTAAACTGGCCAATATTAAGAAATGTGGTCAGTGATTATTTGTAAATAATCAGTGATTCTATACAATAGGCCTGTCACGATATCACATGTTAAAGCACTATATATATCACTACAGAGAAACATTGAGTTACACAATAATATTGAAGTGACTTAATGCCACTGATACAAAGCAGGATAATCCCAGTAAACTATTTCTAAAGAGACAGTATCATTAAAGGGCCGACATAAAATGGCAAATGTCTCTTCACTATTGCAAAGAAATTGTACATGCAACAAATTGATTATTTGTGCCAGTGTTTCAAATTGACAGTGAGAGTTTTCAAATACATTAGCCACACAGGCTGAAATATGCAACTGGAGGGTCTACACAGATGAGTATTCATGAAAATAATTTTGATTAAATTATGCCACAGTCTTTGGTTTAAAAGGTCATGTGTTTTGAGTCCTTACAGTCCAGAAAATGATTGATAAAATATGACCACTATATGATTATTTTTTATATCCTCCTAGTCACGATTAGGCAGTTGATTGTTGCTGTCATACTGATCATCACATACTAGTGTGGAACTGTAGCACAAGCAGAACCTGCCTAACCCCATCTGTTCTAAGCCATACTCCAGCAGTTCTAACACAGAGCAGTAGACTGACTCGTTTGTCTTCTTGTACAGAGCTGCTACTTGATGTCCTCTGCTCTGACAGTCTTCATGGGGTCTTAAGATGTTGGTAATCTGAAAACAAGGAGTGATCCATATCAGTGAGGGCTGAGTGATCGAACAGAACATGAATCACCTGATCAGTCATCATTTTCAATGATTTATGAGTTATTATTAAAAATGAATCCAAATGTATTCCCTGGATACTTTAATTTCAGACTTTAAAGCATCTGCTCCAGACTACATGCAAGCTGGCATTTTATTGATGATTACAGATAACATTTTGGCCTAGTGTTACTAGCATCGGGGCTTTTTGTCATATATGGCATCAGTCTGATATTAAATATCAGTTACAGGTCAGATCTGATATTGGGCTTTTCCACTCCCTCATTCACACACAGACAGTGGGGGGTAGAGCTTGGGTATCATTAAGAAGTTGCCGATACGATACATACCCCGATACATAGGCCACGATATGATACATATCTCGATACAGTGCACTTTCAATTCAATACGATACATTTTAAATCGATTTGATAGCTATCAATAAAACAATGGCTGTGATACTAAAAGTCTTTGTTAAATCACTTCTTGCGCAAAGTTCATATGAAACAAACATTTGATTCCTCAAAACAGTGACTATGTCAAATGTGTTGCATAAATGAGTTTCCTTCCACTGAAGAAGCAACAAAACTGTAGCTGTAACAAAATAAATTAATAATACACCAAATACTTGTGGCGATATATCGATACAGCAGCCCACGATATCAATATTGTATCATCACATTAGGCGATACGATATATTGATATTTCGATATTTTTGCACACTCCTACTGGGGGCAAGTGTCTTGTCCAACAACACAATGACAGCATTCATCTGTGGGAGCTGGAATTGCACTGCCAACCTGTGGGTCAGTGTATCTGACCCACATCAACTAATGATGTTGTTATGTCAAGAGTGGGATTCAAACCGCCAACCTTCAGATGGACATATAGTGGACGTATGCTCTACCAACTGAGCTACTTTATGTTATGAGGTTCTTTTTTGAGACCAAGAGTTGACAGTTTGTTCTGCTCTGTGCGTTCTTCCTCAGAGTCACGTGATGTTGCTGTGACGTGTCGCTCAGCTGATTTACACAGGGTTTGGCGCTGTCTTTGCACTCATGGAAGCAGGACGACAGCGCCATCTGCAGTCCAACTGTATCCTGGGTGTGTGAGAGTAAAAAAGTTGTCGCCAAACAATGTTTTTTTTTACTCTCACACACCTGGGAAACTGACCTGAGGAAGTTGGACTGCAGATGGCGCAGAACGTTGTCCTCCTTCTTCCGGTAAGAAGACCGCACCAAAACCTGTTTAAATCAGCTGACTGGATACATCACAGCAACATCACGTGACTCAGAGGAAGTGTGCAGGGAGCAGTCCAAACTGTCAGGTATGAAAACAAACTCTTGGTCTGAAAAAAGACTAAAATAACATAAATTATCAGAAGACCAAATGAACCTCATTGAACAACTGAGTTAAAGCCGCCCCACTGTTTGTCAGAAAAAAACTAAAAGTCTATCACATGTCTTTATTAAAGGAGATATAATATAAAATTGACCCCAATCAAACCCTCCTTATAGTTAGCTGTAAGATTCTGTGCAATGCTCCACCCACAAGTCTACATCACTCATGCTCCCACACAATTCTCCCTAAATGTTCAAAAACATGATACCAGTCTGTACACAGCAACACGACAAACCTGATGTGACCTGCGGTGTCTTTAAAAACACGTTGTTTTCAGTGACTGTTGTGCTTTGAAAACAATAAAGGTAACATGATCTAAGTATGTTTTGTGTTAGCAGTTCCACATAGAAGTAAAATACCTCTTCTTTTAAGTTCTAACTTGGATGAATGTTCCTCTTTCAGAAGACCTCTGTGGCTGATGGAAACCCTCTACCCACCTCTCCTAGCTCCATGACCAACCAGTATCACCTGGACCACGAGGACCCAGAGGAGAGCCTGGAGAAGAATCCAGAGCAAAGGGAGAGAGACCTCTTCATCACTGTGGACAACCCCGAGAGTCATGTGACTGCCATCGAGACCTTCATCATTTACAGAGTTCTCACTAGGGTAAGACTGACCACTACTGTCCACCACTGTGTCCACTTTTGTTCACTACTGACCATTACTCTCTAGTGCTGACATCAGATTAAAATTTCAAACTCAATTTCAACTGTAAGGACTCAAGACACAATACTGATTCTTGATACTGATTCTGATTTTCCACATTCAATGGTAGAACTTTCATTTCTATTCCCATGTGTCTTATATGTGTGTAATCCTCAGTGGTGCAGTAGGTTCATACTGTCCATGTGTATATACTAATCAGTGTGCTCTTATACTTCTCTGACACAGTTTATTTATCTATCTATCTATCTATCTATCTATCTATCTATCTATCTATCTATCTATCTATCTATATATATATATATATATATATATATATATATATATATATATATTTTTTTTTTTTTTTTTTCCCTACAAATAAGTAACTAGTTTCAATACTAGTTTTAGTATCAATTATTATCTCATTTGAAAACCCCATTACTGTTCTTTACTGTCCATTCAGTGTACACCTTGTAGTGTCTGTGTACACTGGTTTATGCAATCAAAAAACAAAAGAGCATCTATAAACTCTATGAACTTTAAACACACTCTTTAGTCATGATCATGAATAATCTTCTTAAATAAACCCTTGTGGTGTAAAGTCACTTACCTCCACTTAAGCATTTGAAAGATCAATAGCTTCTCATCTCAGACAAAGAGCTGGATGAGCTGTTTTCTCAGGACATTATTTTCAAATAAATTATGTAAGATTAATATTAGTCCATACACACTGCTTTTATGTGATAAATGCAGTATTATTGCAGCTACAGATGGAAACCTTGTTTGCTTTAATCAATATCTCTTTAACGCTGTCTTATTTGCATATAATTATTACATTTAAATGTACATGACCAGGTGAGGTTTCTTCTTTATTGATTATTTACATTATATATCCTCACTGAAGAAAACTATGAATGACACATATTGATTGTGAACTAGAATTTAAAAACAACCTTTACCATTTGCATTGATCACTGCTTTGCTCTTTGGGCATTTCTTGACCCTGACGTGGCACTGCTGTGAAGTGAAAACCATTTTAGGAGACTTCATCATGAAGCTCAAAGAGAGAAGGCCAAGGGTTTACTATGCTGTCAACAGGGCAAAGGGTTGTCCCTTTGAGGAATGAATGTATACTCAGTTTCACTTTTTTTCTTTATATCATAATTCCATATATCTTGCTTCATGTATTTGATGTCTTTCTAAAATGTAGAAAGTAGTAAACAAAGAAAAAAGAAAAACACTGAATGAATGAGAAGGTGTGTGTGAATGTGTATCTGTGTAGACCACACGGGGGGACTTTGACTCCAGCGAGGTGGAGGTGCGGAGAAGGTACCAGGAGTTCTCATGGCTCAGGAGCAAATTGGAGGAGAGTCACCCCACCCTCATCGTCCCTGTGAGTCCCACTACTACTACTACTACTACTACTACTACTACTAGTACTACTACTACTACTACTCTACTTCTACATACTGTGACCATGTGCCCAAAAATGACAAAATGACCCAAATGATTCTCCCAAAGTCTGAACTCTCCTTCATACCACATGCTTTTAATGCTACAGGAGATTTTATAATTTTATTTTGAAATTCCATGGCCTATTTGTGTCTCCAGATACCAGGTAAATGTGTTGCAATCAAATATGCGTTGATTTATTCTTAATTTAGTAGAAGTGATTTCTGGAAGTTCTGAGCTTCCACATGAGGCATGGCCTGTCCATGTCCTGCACTGGCAACCCAGATTCAGGTGTGATTGCAGTAATTGTTTTAAAAGTAAAACATCACAACTGGCTACATCCAGCTCCTTTTTTAGATTGGCATAACTTGATTTAGCACAAATCTGTAAATGGCCACTGACTAAAAAATGCAAGAGAATGTTTGAGTTTAAAGCCCAATGTACTCCTGTGTGTGTGTGTGTGTGTGTGTGTGTGTGTATGTGTGTGTGTGTGTGTGTGTGCGTGTGCGTGTGTATGTATATGTACGTGTGTGTTGCAGCCTCTGCCAGAGAAGTTTGTGATGAAGGGCATGGTGGAGCGCTTCAATGATGACTTCATCGAGACCAGGAAGAGAGCTCTGCACAGATTCCTCCAGAAGATCTCAGTTCACCCAGTCCTGTCCCACAGCCCCCACCTCAAGGCCTTCCTCACTGCACAGGTACAGGGGCCTGTGGTCAACATTTATCACGTTTATTAACATGTATTATTTTGATTTAAATGCGCAAGAGGGAGTCTGTCGACAACAGTTGAAAAGAAAAATATACATAAATTTATATATATATATATATATATATATATATATATATATATATATTAGGGGTGTCAAATTATCGCCATATTTAGCACGTTATGTTTTTTAATCGCGTTAATCTCATTTTTAATCTCTTAACTTTACTGTTTCTGTATGCGAGTTGCTTTATTATAAAATCTGTTTTTATGTGTTGTTGGGACAACACACACACATAAAAATAACACATTTATTTATTTTTTTTATTTCGGTAATTCCACTCATTGCCGGAAACCCACACAAATGTGCGCAGTAAGAACGATGTAAACGTCATGTTAACGTTGGCGGCGTCAGTCACACAATGGACGAGGTGGAAGAGCCAGTAGAACAGAGGCAGCAGTGCACAGGTAAAAACACATTCGTGTCTTGGAAATTCTTCTCCCGACGTGAAATATAAAAGAAAATAACAAATATAAAATCACCTACAACTTAAATGTCACTGGTGTAAACAACCTGCATAGACTCATGATGTCTGCACTACTGTCCTATACACAAACACACACACACACAAACACACACACAAACACACACAAACACACGCAAACACAAACACACACACACACACACACACACACACACGCACACAAACACACACAAACACACACCTTCATCATTGTCATTAACCTGAGAACGCGCGGACCATATTTCCTTCCGTAGTTACTGCGTGGACACCGCTGTCCTCCCGTGCACCGCGTACGTTTTCTCGCGTACGCTGCGTAAACCGCGCTTCCTGCTGTGCGCCTCTAAACCAGAACTAACACCAAGACTAAAACCGGGACTAACCCAGTCCAGGATTAAACCAGGACTAAACCAGAACTAAAACCAAAACTAAAACCAGGTCTAAACCAGGACTAAACCAGGACTAAACCAGTGATCTCATATATGAAGCATTTGTCTATCAATAATATTTTTAATATGGTTAAGGAAAGACTGGACTTTTTATTGTCTTTAAGTAGACAAAAGTTATTATGTTCAGATTTCCTCGTCTTTGCTACTTTACAGCAAACAGTTTCTTATTCATGGAGACTTGGGCTCAACAGACAATTTGAAGAGAACAAACAAGAGCAACATTTGCAGGATGCGGTTGTTACATTCATGTAGTTTTAAAAAGCATGACAATATCAAGTAATTCAAAGTATTCAAATTACATTACTCACTTTAAGTAATTAAATGGATTAAGTTACAACTATATTTTGGGATATGTAATCTGTAATCTGTAGGGGAATACATTTTAAAAGTAACCTTCCCAACACTGCAGATTAGTAATAGTAATAATAATGATGATACTGTGGAATGTAAGTGACTGCATCTGTTAAAGTTTGTTAAACAATAAATGACTTTATAAAGTCACTTTTTTTTTGTTCTATATCAGTCTTTTGATCTGCCACAATAATGTAATAATGAATTTAAATGAAAATACCTCAAATTGAAGGCTTTCTCAGAAAAGTGCAGTACTGGGAACAGCAAAGATACTGCGCAGAACTCTCAAGCTCCCAGGCCTCTGGTAGAGGACCCGAGCTGAATGAGGGTGAGAGAGACCTACCACCGTGGAAGGTGAGAAACACATTTTTTTATTTTTTTTTTATATATATATATATGTGTGTGTGTGTATTATATATAATTAGGGCCCGATGGATTTTGTTGTGGCCGATATGAAACCCATAAAATGGGAGTTGGAGCTGCCGATATAATCGACGATATATTTAGTGATGTAAAAATTCACTGTAAATCTTGAATTGTTTAAAAAACTTAGGTTTGGCTCTAGTGGATTTTAAATTGGGTTTATTTAGGCAACATTTATTGTTATTCTGACTCTTTACCTCATATCTGCAGACAGTAGGTCGGACTAATGGCATTTTTGCATCACATTCTAGCAGCTAGTGATGGGTATTTCAGTTCTTTTGCGAGCACTGGCTCTTTTGGCTCGGCTCACTAAAAGCAGCGGCTCTTTCGGCTCCCAAGCGGCTCTACAGGTTGTTTTGTTGCAAGCAGGACTAAACCAGAACTGAACCAGGACTGAGTGTCGGGATTTGGTCTCTATCTCTCTCCGTTGTGGTTTATTTATTTTATGCTGAACTACAGCCAAACATGCATGTTTTTTCTCTCCTATGCACACGCAGATATCTGAAAGTTTCATTTTGAGCCGCTGCCGCTGTCAAACTACCACAAGTCTGCACACGACGTGAAGAGAAAAAAGTGAGAGAAAAAGAAAACACGGCTCAAAATAAGGAGCAGGCTCCCGTCGTTCGCTTCAAAGAGCCGACTCTAAGAGCCGCTTCGTTCGTGACCGACCCAGCACTACTAACTAGTAAAGAAACTACCGCTATTAGCCTTTAGCCATAAATGCTGCACGCTGCGGTAATTAATTATATGCATAAATGTCATCATTCACAGCTCATTTACATATCAGTGTAGGTCAAGTAACAAATATATGGCCAATATAGTCACTTTACAACAGGTCAAAAGAAAACAGTCTGTTTATGTGTGGGACCTACAGCAGCTAATTGCTAACTAAAGGAAAAGAACCAAAACTATCTTCAAAGTCGACACATTTCCAACACTCAGTGCTCACACAGGCACTAATAAATGTCCTTTTAATCCAGACTCAAACAGATTGTCTGTAAAAAGAATATAATCTCAGGGTTTGGATCTGTGTCTGCGGGAGTAAACAAACACAAGTGACCTTACGTGGCGTGACGTGAGTGACGTGTGTTCAGGGACAGAACGGACACACACACAGACAAATGACTCCGCAGATAAATACTGATGTGGAGCCACATATTAGGACATTTATCTGTCTGTAAATTGGATTAAATGAACTTAATGTAGAGAGTCTAAGATTTATAATGACGTATCACATGCCCACATGAAATATCGGCCCATATCAGCAAACATATCAGCCGATAGCTGATATGTCTCCAGGTGCACATATTGGCCAACCGATATATCAGTCGGGCTCTAATTATAACTACAGCACACACACAAGTACAGGTCTTCTTCTTTAAACCTACTGGAGGATACTACCAGATCCCTGTTGTGCCTCCACGATGCACAGCCCTGAACACAGCACACTGTAGTGCTGAGTGTGGATGTCTCTACAGGACCTGACCCCTCATAAGAAGGGCCCAGGGCTGCTGAGTCGCATGGGGGACACGGTGCGCTCCATGGCCCAGTCAGTGAGGGGCGTGCGGGGCCGAGCCGAAGAGTTCAACTCCCTCCAGGACTACAGCGAGCGCTTCAGCTCCACCATCAGCTCTGTGGACAGGGTCACACAGAGGGTCATCCGCGAGCAGAGAGGTGCACACACCAAATACACACACACACACTTTCACAAGGAAACTAACATTTCAAACTTGAATTTGATTCTTGATATTAAAGACAGATACTGATACTATTAGTATGATGATAACAAAAGACAATAGAATGTGATTTTCAACATTAAATGCAGTACTTTCTTTTTTATTCCCATGTGTGTTATATGTGTGTAATGGTCAGTGGTGCAGTAGGTTCATGTTGGTCCATGTGTGTATAATAGTCTGTGTGCTCTGACACTTGTTCTGATACAGATCAACATCATTCTAAAAACATTTAAGAAAGGTTTCCCTCCTGTGAAAGGGACTTTTTAAGTATTGATTCCTGCTCCGATGAGTATCTGGTTACTAAAACTAGTATTGATTAGTGTCTGATTTTCAACATTATACAACAACCCTATTTCAAGATTCAGGTGAAATTTTGAGTCCTACTTTTGAATGACAGAAACGTCCATGTGCTAATGTCCATATGGATGTTTGCAGAGTACCTGGATGAGCTGCGCCAGTACAGCCCCACCTATAGCCAGTGGGCGGAGCTGGAGGAGGGCCTATCAGAGCCTCTGAAGGGCATGGCCAGGAGCCTAGAGCTGATTGGTCAGGAGACAGAGGCGCAGTCCCAGGAGCTGTCTGAGGTGCTGGAGCCAGTGCTGCATGAGTATGTGCTGTGTGCTGATACTGTCAAGGTAAAACAAACACACTTTTAATATCTCTGTGTGAATGGGCTGTCTCATAATGATTATCAGACTGGCTTTTCACAATCCTGCAGAAATGTCTGAAGTATATGTGCTAGAGGTTATCAAAACTCACATTTTTAAACCAGTCTCTTCTGAACTAAAGGTAAAAGGAGCTGTTAACTTGAAAACTACCGCTTCATGACAACACATGAGCAAACTTAAATATGTGTGAATGGAACACAACACAACACCACGTACGTTGTTGCTTACAATGTTCTAACATGGCTCAATGCTCATGGCACAATTTCACAAGAGTCAGTTTTGTGTAATACGTAAGCATTAAACAACTTGGGGTTGCAAGTCCTTTGATACTTAAAGGCCCTGTACCTGTACCTTTTTTTAATGTATTTGAGCAAATCGTGTCTTTCTCCAGATATACTGTAGCTGCTCCTGAGGTCTAAATAAGTATATTGTGTGTGTAATGTCTTGATTATAAATCAGGTGCATGTTAGTATGCTAGTTGTTGTTGGCTTTATTTTGACAACTAAATTCTGGAAAAGCACTTATAAACTCATCATGTTGAATCATTAGGATGGTCAGAATTAGGTAGGGTAAGTGAGGAATATGTGGACCACTGCAAAGCATTTAAAATTAACTAGCTTTGTTTTTCATATTTTTAAGACAGTGAAAATCATAAACTTCTACATTTCTGATGGATTGACATAACTGACTTCAAACAAGTTATGAGATGTTCTGAAGTCCTGCTGTAAATGATCTTTTCAAACACAGACGGTGCTGAGGCGCAGAGACAACATCCAGGCCGACTTTGAGGTGAAGAACGAGACTCTGACCACGAAGAAAGTGGAGCAGGACACGGTCAGTCTGTGTGTGTGCTCGTGTGTGTGTGTGTGTGTTTGTATGTATGTGTGTGCTCGTGTGTGTGTGTGTTTGTATGTGTGTGTGCTCGTGTGTGTGTGTGTGTGTAGGCTTAAAATGCATGTGACAGGTTTTCATGTTTTTTCTAATTCTGGCTTGATTTGGTGGATTGTACCTATGGTCAATATTTATCATAGTTTTACATCAGTTAAGAAGCAGTTTGTGGAAAAAAGTTGAAAAGGAAAAGAAAACTTCATGAAGTAGTGCCTTGGTCCTTGTTAACATAGTTGCTAGGTAACAGTTGTGTAATTACTTCTGCGTGTGTCATATCTGCTGCCTGTGCCCAACCAGGAAGTAAAATTATAAACTTCACCTGAATATTAACTAGACAAAACTAGGGAAAAACTTGTAACATGAACTTTAACCCAAAAGGATACAAATGTTTTGAACCAGTGCTATGTTTATGCCTGGTACCGCCTGGTTTGAGAGTGAACTTAAGGATAGATAGCATAGAGTGAACCAGTCTGTGCCATGTGCCACAGGGACATGTGCAGTGTTCCTCTCTTAATGAAGGAGCAGCTGGACATGCGATGTTTCATAAACACAGAAGCGTAAGGCAAAAACGTCTTTTTAGACCTATAGCGCCTTGTTGCACAAACATGTCCAGGCCACTGAAAATGAAGCTCAACTTTCATTTCATTTGAATGTCTATTGTATTGTGAGTATATTGTAAAAGCAGCACTTAGTGGAAAAATTTTCCTGCTGTGTACTGTCTGCAAATGATAAAGTATTTTTATTTCTCGTCTGTATCTGTGTGAGTGTGTGTGAATGTGTGTAATCTGTGTGCGTGTGTGTGATCTGTGTGTGCGTGTGAGTGTGTGTGATCTGTGTGTGTGAGTGTGTGTGATCTGTGTGTGCGTGTGAGTGTGTGTGATGTGTCTTTATGTATGTATGAGAGTGCGTGTCAGTGCGTGTCAGTGCGTGTCAGTGCGTGTCAGTGCGTGTCAGTGCGTGAGAGTGCGTGAGAGTGCGTGTCAGTGCGTGTCAGTGCGTGTCAGTGCGTGTCAGTGCGTGAGAGTGCGTGAGAGTGCGTGAGAGTGCGTGTCAGTGCGTGTCAGTGCGTGAGAGTGCGTGTCAGTGCGTGTCAGTGCGTGAGAGTGCGTGTCAGTGCGTGAGAGTGCGTGTCAGTGCGTGAGAGTGCGTGTCAGTGCGTGTCAGTGCGTGAGAGTGCGTGAGAGTGCGTGTCAGTGCGTGTCAGTGCGTGTCAGTGCGTGTCAGTGCGTGAGAGTGCGTGAGAGTGCGTGAGAGTGTGTGTGCCAGCGTCAGTCCTCCCGGAGCTCAACCTTAATAACTCACACAGTCCTCTCCCTCGTCTCAACAGAAGCTCCACAGATTAGCGGAGCTCCAGGTGCCCCAGCTGTGCTCTGCTCTGCTCTGCCCTGCTTCACGGGAATCCCAGCGTACACAGTGCTCCTGTGTAAACCTGCGCGCTAATCGCAGCTAATGAAAACTCCTCTCTCCTCCACAGGGGCCCGCTGCATTCAAAATGTCAGGAGACGGCGAGCGCCCAATGAGAAGTGATGAGAGTAAAGGACAGGGCTATATTTGGAGCGAGGCGTTCAGCTGCAGATCATATGGGGATCTATAAGAGCTTTAATTAAGGAGCAGGCTCCAACGATATGCGCTCACTTTTAATGAGGCTGGGCTGGGGATGTGCAGCAGGCGCTGTGTGCTTTAGCTAACCTTTGCTCAGATAAAGCAATACTTAGTGATACATCAGCTGTGCTCTAATACACTGCAAATATAGGAGTTTAGAAGTCTCTTTGGATAACTAACTATCAGCATTATTATTAGATTTAGGAGTTACATGAAGTCACATTTCAGGTAATGAGGCTGTGAATCTGACCAATCACAGCGTGGCATTGTGGTATGCATGGAGGCCAAAGGTCAAGCACCCAAACAAACCAAAACAAACTCTGACATAAACAGGAGCCACTGGACTATTTCAATCAAAATACACTGGTTGCATAACCTCCTGTATGTTTGTAATGGAAGTTGTCCCAAAATATCAGTGTCAGATGCCGTGCAGCAGTATGACCTCTGCCCGGTCTGATTGCAGTTAGGAAAAGGAACACTTGCACATGTTAGTATGAGCTGTTATTATGTGTGTAAACTTTATGATGACACTTTTGAGCTCATTGTAACACATGTGATTTCCTTTGTAGGTAGAAAAGTCAGTGCCAGTAACCTTTAGACTAGGCAGTTGCAGGAGGAGGTGGACTTTGGCACCATGTCATGTCCTAACTCCCACTGGTGGTCGTGTCGGTGTTGTGCAGGAGGAGGTGGACTCTGGTTGTCGTATATGTCTTAATCCCCCCTGCTGTTTGTGTTGTGCAGTTGCAGGAGGAGGTGGACGCTCTAGCTGACCGCTTGGAGCAGGCTAATGTGGCCCTGAGAGCAGACTGGAAACACTGGAGGAGCAATCTGAGGACAGACGTGAGAGAGGCTCTAGTATCCACGGCCGAGAGGAACGTACAGTACTATGAGAAGGTGCTCTAACACACACAGATGCAGACACAAATGGGAATGGACACATATGCACACACATACACACGAGGGATGCAACTATATTCAATATACTATCAAATCGTCTCACGATTCAATACACATGTTCCGTTAATACGCTCATGTCCCTCCTTGCTCTCTGTGTTGTCATTTATTTTGGTCCAAAGGGAAACAGTTCTCTTGGTGTCCTCCTCCGATGCAGCACAAAACAGCTCCATAGGGATCTAGAGCTGAAATATTGTAACAGAGGTGGATTTTATCTTTCAATCACTTTTTAATTTACGTTGATAGACCCAGGAATGAAAAAGATATTCACTTTTAAGTACTTGAGAACCACTTTTGTTTTTGCATCAGCTTTAAACAAATGTTTAGTTAGAAAGAAGTCATTTCTATGTAATGTAACATAGTTTTAGTGTCCAAAAAGAGGATGGGAGAGCACAGTGTGTCTGTAAGAGCACAGACTGTAGGGGGCAGTGTGGGAGGAGCTACGTACTGTGTCTACTGTAATGCATTGTGTGTAGTGTGTGTAATGTTTCATTAATGTCATAGTGTTATTATGTTATACTCATTAGCAGAAAAACTTACATTAGATTTTTTTTTGCGTCTTAAAATGTATTGAAATCAGCTCAATATTGACCCATGTATCGAGATATGTACCGTATCGTGGGGAAACCATATTGTCGCATCCATAATACGCACACACATAAGCGCGCACATAAGCGCGCACATAAGCGCGCACATAAGCGCGCACATAAGCGCACACATAAGCGCACACATAAGCGCACACATAAGCGCACACAGAAGCACACACAGAAGCACACACATGTTGGGGTTCCATGGTTGTTGGGAACACTACATTGACTCTATTAATTTACTGTTGACTACCTCTAGCCTTAACCAGTCACTACTTTTCTTAAGCAAAACCCAAACCCGATCCTGAACAGGTGTAACACATTGACTGAGTCACTCAGTACTTTTACTAGTGTAAAAAGTTGAACTGTGTCCCAAACGGTCATGTAGCATTCAAAAGTAGCTTGGGAGATTACGGGCCCTATCTTGCTCCTGATCTTAGTGCCAGTGTGGGGGCATGGAGCTGTAAACAAGAGGTGTGCCGTGCCTGAATATGAGGTAGAGTGGGGCAGACTGAGGGTGTGGTGTGACACGCTCAATTGCCAGAATCTTAAAAATAAAAAACTAGTCGACTAAAAAACAAAGTGTGGCATGCTCAAGACTTCTTTTATTTGTAAATATATTAGGATGATAAATGCTTAATACAGCCCCTCGCCCGCTGCCTCGACTCAGCTCTGCTTTATAGTTTGGTTTGATCTAGATCTGTACAAAAGCTGCTCATTCACATGAGGCTGTTTATAGCGCTGTCTTAAAGTCTGTTTTCTTACCCTGTCTGCGGGGATGTCAGATTTCCTCATATCCTCGTACCCTTTCTGTCATCAGTTCCATTTAAAGTTGTGACAAAATTATTCCCATTGTGTCTCTTTGGTTAGTTTATAAAGTTAGTCGCCAGTAGGTTGGCCGGACTCTGACAGGGATCAGCGCCTGCATTCACTGACAGCTCAGGTCTCTGACAGCGGAACACACGCACGTCTCGTATGTGCTACTCTGTTGGCAGCAGCGGTCAGTAGAGCTTTGTCCAGCGGCTGAAGAGACTTATAGTGCACGTGAGCACTGCTCTGTACAGACTAGCGATGGGCATTCGATGAAATTTTCTTAATCGATCGTCGGAAGAATTAACGATCGATTAATCATTAACGTTTTTATATTAAAATGATCATCATTATTATTACTATCTGCACTACTAATCTGCATAAATAAATTCAACTTTACGACATATAAACCGTAACGACTCTAGAGCCACATCAATCCGTTTGACATTATTAATTATTAATGTGTTTAATTCAGTTTTGCGCAACTCTCACAGAAACGAAACTTAAAACCACATCGCTAATTTGCATAAACTAAGCGAAGATAAAACTACAGCTCTTCTGCGCTGATGCGGTCAATTTCTTTCGGATTAAAAGACATGACTCAGTGGAATACAGGTTAGTGTGACCAGATTTGTGTTTGTCTAAACCAGGACACCGTACAGGGGGAGGGAGGTGGGGACTCGTCATCGACATTGCGCGACTCTCACCTCACAAAACTTTTTCCCACTGGACATATGTGCTGCTTTGTACACTGTGCACATGGACTCACACTTGTCCCGAACGCAACGGAAAGCGTGGACTTTCTTGTAGAAGTCATCGTTAAATACGCATTTGTGCTTCAGCACGCTGCAGACTGACCAACTGTTTGTGTTTGCTCGCTCCTTCTGAGTGCAGAGAGACACATGTACAGACACCTGTTTGGTCACTCTACGCTACGCACAGCAACCTACATTCGGTTTGTCGATTAAAATTAACGTAATCGACGAAATTCTTAATGATCAATTATAGATTAATCGATTAATCATGCCCATCCCTAGTACAGACACCTGCACATCCTGCTCTGTGCGCTCATGGAGCATAGCAGTCACGTGTGATAATGGTTTAATCCATGTCTGTGCTCAAAGCTGTAACATCAGAAACATTTATATGACAATAAACAGATTCCATAATCCACGAGACATTCACCTGTGTGGGGCCAAGTGTGTTGGACACCAGAGAGACGAGAATGTGAGCGGTCAGCAGTAGCAGCAGTGGACATTCGTACCTCAGGACTGTACGGACAGATGGCAGCAGGTGTGACCAGGAGGAGAGCAGTGCTCAGCGGCTCTGCTGTGGGATGGGGAGCACATGAGACACTGGTTTGCTGCATAATGGGCAAACGAAATGAGGAACACAGAGAAAACTAAAAAGGTTGACGTGTGTGCACATGTACGGGCTTACAGTGGTGTGTGTGTGAGTCACACATGCGCGCTGAGTGTTTGGAATACAAACCCAGCCAGTTCTGTCAGGGCTCATCCAAACTTCTATATTCCTAGTGCCTCTGCTGGTGCGTACTTGCATCGTGTGGCTCCGGAGCTGTTTTATTGTGATTTTAAATGCCACAGCGGTCACAGATTGGTTGAGATGTCATCACCATATGTGTACTTGTACTGTCCCACTCCAGTCTCAAGCTTTGAAGTACGACCTGGACACGCCCTCTCGTTAGTGCTAGCGCTACGATCACGGACAAGGTAGGGCCCTACATGTCTGTACAGCTCAATATCCTGTCAACAGTTGTCAGTGAGGGGGAGGTTGTTGTAGTATAGATCTAGTGTTTCTTATAGTTCTTACAGTTATATAATAGACATTTTGGTTTAATAATGCCACTGTCTTTGTTATAAAATAGTCTTTTTCTATATGTTTTAGAATCTGTTTTACATAATGATAATGATTATGTGTATGATCTGTAGAGATTGAGGGAGAGAATAGAGATTTTTTGAATGGCAAAGCCAATTGTTTAGAATCCAGAGGAACCGATGGCTGTGGAGATGATTTTAGTAATTTTCCCCAAATTATCTAAATAGAATTCAATATGAACTCATTCACAACCTTGTTTTACTACAGACTGTGTAGAGAGCAGTGAGCACTGACCCACAGGTTGGCTGGTGTGATTCCAGCTCCCACAGATGAATGCTGTTGTTGTGTCCTTGGGCAAGACACTTAACCCACCTTGCCCCCAGTGTCTGTGTACACTGGTGTGTGAATGTGTGTGTGAATGGGTGAGTGGTTCCGTGTTGTAAAGCGCTTTGAGAGCCTTGAAGGTGGAAAAGCACTGTAGAAAAATGTGTCCATTTACTTTTTATGCATATTTAGGCAGACAAAATATTGTCCACTGCTGGAGATTTAAAGCTATTCTAGAAAGAGCAAATATTGGCTCAATATATCAGCCAACTGATTTATCAGTCTTTCTGTAATGATTCGTGCCTGTATTGAATAGACTTGATTAGTTGCTGTACTTGTGGCAGTTCTACTAGATGTAAAGCACACAGAATGTTGCCCCCAGCCAGTGGACTCATGGAGCGTCATGTTTTACCGCACCTTGTCTTTGTAGAAAACCCATCAGAAGTTCTGAGTGATGTACTGTGGGCTGCTTGTGTAGTTTTGTAAGGAAAGACAGCGCCCCCTGCAGTATGAAGCTGGTCTAAGCTTCATAAATATTTGTCAGTATTAAAGAGCGTACATAGTTTCTGGGCTCTTAAACATTTTCATTTTCATCCAAAAAATAGTACATATATCTTTATTATTTGTAGAGATCGACTGAAAAAAAAAAAAATCCCCTTTTTTCCCCTATCCCTCATATAGACTCAATGCTCTGAACTTGACGTTGTGTAGCCACTTGCAGCACATGTTAAATATTAAAACTAATACTACTAATATTACGGTGAACTGTAGCTATCCTTATTCTTTTCTTTTATTACATCTTTTTAAATCAATATATCCATTTCAAATATTCTCCTTCTCTTGTGCAGGAGCAGGTCTATATATGACTATTGACTTAAACCTCATAAACTAAGGATTATGGGTAATATTTCATCTGAAGTGGTTGTGGCTTTCTGTTCACATTGTGTTTGTATTTCATACTGGTCATATATCAGTTCGTACACTAGTGACTGCTGATTTTAGAGTTGCAATAAGCTCTTAGTAATTACCGTTCTTTAATAAAATAGTGCCTCTCAGAGTAGTTTTCAGACAGTAACATTTACATTTGAGAGTAATATATTTTACAGTGTAAAAGTACTCTTACTTGAGTAAAAGTTGTGCTTCCTCTTCCCACTGTGAGTGAGTCTATAATGACAAAATCTTTATGTAGAAAACCTGAAATCATTTGAACATTTGTTTTTCTTGCAGCTCCTTTACATCTGATTTAGTTTGTCTCATTTTTGTGACTGTCCTTTGAAAAGACCATATTTTGAGCATTATTTAATGTTGCACCATTCAAATGACATAAAGTTCAAATTTTAAATCAGATGTTGGGTCCTGACAGTCATACTTAGATTTATTCTT